GCGCCATCACTCCCTAGCAGCGTCCCCGTCTTCAAGCTAATCTGATTGCCCGTGAAATCGGCGCGCTCCAGAAACACCACGAGATATTCATGACTGGTATTGAGCGGTCGGTCTGCGCTGGGCTTGACGGAGAAGTGGAGTGTTTTGACGCCGGTTGTGGTGACGTTGTCGGCGGAGAGAGCGGGGTTCGGCATGAGTTCTGCGCGGCGCACAGCGGTTTGGGGATTTGCGCCTCCGGGAGCGAAGATGGAATCGTCGCTATGGGGGTTTAGAAGGGCATTGGGATTGATTAGATGGGGGAGAAGTACTTGATGGTTACTTCAACGGATTGTGCGTTGACTTGCGTGTCGAGCTTATACCGATTAGTTATTGCTGCGGTAAATATTTCAGGTTTTCACGTCGTACTAGTGATACATCGCTAGCTGAGAAAAGCAGTAGGTCGCTAAAACTAACACCTGCCCCAGAATTAGCTGTTGAACCTATGCTGACGAAGGACTCACTTTGTCCCTTTGTAAAATCCGGATCGAACAGACTATCCGCAGCATCAAATTCCGCGGCCACTGCAGTGGCTGGGACCCGTCCGTCGAATACAATAGTCTGGCATCGTGCTAGCACGACGCTTGAAAGAAGGTAAAAAGAATGACGCACCATACTTAGAGAAGATGAATAGGAACGAGAGACAGAAGCGAATGGGAAGATGGGAAATAAACAAGAAAATTGAGCACTGAAGATTGAAGTACACAGAACGACGCCTTGAAGATATATATGCAGCTTGAAGATGTTATGGTTCTTCCGAGGTTTCAGCTAAGGCCCGCATTATCGAAATATTGCCGAATATCAGGCCGTTGCTGAGGTTTGAGAGGGAAAGAACGTTTGGTTTGCTTGGGGACTGCCATTGAATTCATCGCTGCGCCAGTCGCCCCATGAAAACGGAAGTGTGATTAAGCAGGAGCATAGGGAGAGCGGAGGCGAATGCGGGTGGAGAAGAGGGGGTGGTTGTGGAAATGACGTAGTGTTGGAGTGCATCCGAATGGAGTCTAGCGTGATTTTAGCCGCATTGAGGACTTCAGGGGGCGAGCGGATGATGAAACAGGTACGGCAAGCACATATCAGGAATAATAAATGCCCGCGAAGGTCCATGTTCTGCTTGCTCCTGAATGGTGCCAGTAGCAGTAGAGCAGGTTGTGGTATTAGCGCCATAGGTACCTTCTAGAACTAGACCGTCTCAGCATGCAGAGTCGGGACTGTAGTATTTGCCTTCCCCAAGTAGAGCATACATCTTAACTTTACTCAGTTTTAAAGTGAAGGAATGGAAGAATGATGCTCTCTAACCTTGGATTCTTCTCGTCCAGCTTCTTGAATTGGTCGGGATTGTCCATTGTGTTGTACAGCATGTTCAGTTGATCCGGGCTTCCGTCAAGTCACTATACGAGGTAGGGCCGGTCAAGATTGAGAGTGCGAAGGGCACCAGGCTGCTTTATACGTTGGCTTAGATGAGAGGAAAGAGAAAGCGGTCAGAGCTTCCGGTCGATGTAAACACACCTTCCTTCTGGTGCCACGAGATGCGCCTTCCTTCTCGGCCACATTGTTCATACCCGGCCTCAACTCCACCCGCGAATGCCAACAGACCTGCACCACTTCTCCCGAATATGGCACTTTCTGCAAAGCGCAAAGTATATGGCAGAACCTTGCGGCAGACAAGACGCTGGTAACGCAGCTCAAGGAAGACTTGGCGGCGCTGGACTTCTACGTGCGCGCTGCGAAAAGCGTGTGCGACACGCAAGCGCCCAAGGCGAATGAGACAAAAGCTTCGCCCTTTCTTCTTAGCAAGAGCTATCAACCGGCGGAGCTTCGAGGTGCTGAGGCTGCAGCTCTGGAGTCCACAACGACCGCGGCGCTGATGGCCGATCCAAAAGACAATGACAATAACGAAGATGACGATAATGAGGTGAACGATAATATCATTAGAGTAAATTCTCTTACAGGAATGTAGACAACCGCCCTGCTAACCGTAATATAGGCGCCAGAAGAGCGCAGAGGTGAGCGTCGCCAACCGGAACGGTGGCGAAGCTTCACTGGCGAAGTGGAAACTCAAATTGATCGGCTTGTCGGCGAGCCTGCTGAGCAGCCCCCAGCGGAGGATAAGAGAAATAAGTTTCCTATTCAAAGGACGGACAAGGTATGTTTTCGTTTGTTCTAACATCGTGGAGACATAGTCATCGATGGGGAAACCGCGTTCATGAAGCACATCAAATCACTGCACCCAAAACAACTCTGGGGGGATAATGACGGCGAGGAGGACAGCGTAAGCAGTGGTGAGGAGATAGGACCCAACGCGGGCAACAACGAGGACGATGATGATGATGATGATGATGATGATGGTGATGACGAGCATGGCGAGGGTTCGCCTGCATCATATGCAGGCAGGGGCAAACAAGCTGTCCGTTAGGGAGGTGGTTATAACGAGCAACCTTTGTCTACTGCAGCTGTAATTCCTGTACAGAAGCCTCCGTGGTTGTTGAACGTGACGTCGTTCCTAACTGCTCTAGCCGCAAATTAGCAAAGTGCAGCTCTTCTGGCTTTGTGCTTCATCCATACTTTCCCAACCCCAGTCAAACATCAACGACCATTAGGAGTGGTCTTGCGTTAGAGCGTCATCTGCAATGATGGCTTCAATCCTTGTTCGCCAATTGCTTTCGTATTTCAAGAACAGCTTTGTTGTTTCAAAGTGGCGAGAGACTGTTACGAGATCCAGATGACCGTTCAGCCCGTTGCTTATCCGAATGCTCCCAGTACTTTGCAGCTTTTGACGTCGAAGACACCGAAGCTCTAAGATCGATTTAAGTAGTAAATGACAGAAAACTTCAATGAATGTTACCACCCCTTAGATGTGTGCTTCTATCTATATGCATCGTTCCATCGTACCCAGGCCGTAGCCACCATTACTATAGCGCCGTGAACCATATCTCGTAGACAATCACTCATTTGCCCGTTCCGCCCATGCGACCCATCGCTTGATCACATCATCAACCTTGGTAACCCCCTCTCTGCTTGCATCGACTTCAAACCACTCCCTGTGATCCTTTCCACAAGCATCACACTTCTTCGTAACGCGTTGATCGCCAAGCTCAATGTGGACAAGCCTTTCAACGCGGTGCGCGTGTGGTACTTTCCTCACACCCTCTGATACTCTTCGTGTGGGATCAGAAGGGCGCTGGCTGTTGTAGGACTGACGGCGAGTATTTGCAGGAGAAGCGTGGGGCGATGGATTTGGAGAGGGCGAGGGCGTCGAAGAGACGTAAGGGTAGTAACGGACAAGTGAGAGAGAGTAGCCACACTGGCGGGTCCACTCATTCATGCGCCGCGTTACGTTGTTTGCACGGCCAATCTTGAGAAGGATGTTGTCTTTCTCGGGGGTTATTGCATTTTCGTCGCCTGATCGTTGGCGTGCCGTGCCTGGCCGTGGCCTTTGTGGCCGCCGAACAGAGTACTGCCGCAAGACATCTGAAGTACGCCTGTTTTGCTCAGGTCGTGAGGGTGGAGCAAGCAATGTCGAAGCCGTAGAGGAAGGTGCGGGACCAAGCGACTCTGGTGTCAACCAGAAGATGTAGATGTAGCCTTCTTCGTCGTGCTGAGAGATGGGCTTGGAGAGCTCGGCGAGCAATGCCGATGCTGTTTGGGGGTTGAGCGACTTTGGGATATACGAGAGAAGCATTGACGTCTCAGATGGTCGCGAGGACATCTTATTCAGAGGTCGAGCTTGTTTCTCACCCAATGGCTTTCGCGCGGGAACACTGCTGCTCACCGGTCGTGATGTTGGTGCAGGTATGGGAGAGCTCCCGCTGGGTCGTGGGCCTGGTGCTGATGCCGAAGACCTGCCACTTGTCCGGCTTTTCTGCGTTCGTTGAGGAGCCGATCGCGGAGCTTCCGATGGCTGCTGAACCGTCGTCATTGGAGGTAGTTGATTCGGCACCCTCTTCTTGTGCCTCACGACCTCGACATAATCGTCCTCCGCAGAAATACAACACAAGGACGCCCAAAAGCCGTTCTTCTTCCGCGGCCCACTACCACCGGGTCGCTGACTGATACGGTTCTTCTCCGCCATTATATCGCTCGGTACAGACATGAGCGGTCCCTCGACATGATTCCATGTAGACGGCCTGTTGACCCTACTGGGTGGTCGATTCCCCGAGGACCTCTGATCTTGTCGACTCTGCCGTCTCCTTTGAGAAGAAGTGTGAGCAAGCTCATCGACCTCAAGAACGCCTAGCCGCGCGACCAGTGTATCAATACTGTTCCTCTCCTGCAACGGATAGAGTTGTGTCTCCTGCCCGTCGGGGCCCCCAGCGGCAGGTGCCTGATCTTTGTGTTGCCAGCAATAGAATGCGGCAGCTCCAGTCTCTTCCTCATCACTATCGCCTACTACTGATACCACCGCTAGCACACCATTGTCCCCAGAAGATGGTTTGGCGTCGATCGCGCGTCTGCAATGTCGACCTGACTTGGTGACGCCTTTGCAGGTTGTCGCGGGATTTCGCGAGTCGGATCGAGCAATAAGTGATTCGGGGGTACGGCCAATGAATGCCATGGTTGTCTGGAGAACTACTTCTGAGGTAGTGGTCTGTTAGCAGGAAATATATGACTGAGCTCTGTTCGAGGGCGGTGAAAGATTGCAGCCACTTCACAGACACTCTTCACGGTGGCATTGTGATGGCAAAAGAGCAAACCTTGGTAGCATGGGGAGCGCTGGGGGACGAGGCTATGTAGGTCCCTAAAGCAGCCATCGCCGTCGAACAATCGTGGTCAAAAACAAGATGGCGGGGAGGAAAGATATCGCGTGGCAGGCGCGTGGCTCAATCGTGGCGGTGCGGTGGCGCCACTCGCTTAGATCTGCGTTAGCATTTCATACGCACGAACCGCTAAAATGGGTCTCCACCTGCTTTCCGTCATTTATCGCAGGAATCCTGCAAAAACAACGCAAAAAAGAAAAGAAAATCATTTGCATCGGCCGGGAATCGAACCCGGGGCTAGCCGAGGATGCTTGGCAACGGCTAATTTTACCACTAAACCACCGATGCTTTGCACCGTCGTGCAGATTCTTGAAAATTTGCGTGTTTTAAAAAATAGAAATCGTAGATGACACGGCCTAGCGGGCGGCAACAGCGCTGATCCTTTGGTGACCACATCTGCATGCATTTTGTACACGTGTCCACATGCACCAACTCCAGACATTTACCAGCCAATAAGATCGCTAAAGGTCGTGGGTGGATCTGGGCTGTGCTCTTGGCATCCTCCTGTCGTGTTGCCGCTGTTGGGCGCCCAATATTGTCAAGGTCCCACATGCACCGGGTCTAGACAAAAATCTCACAGCTCCGGGCGGCTAATTCTTATTATTAGGATGATTTTTGGTGTCTGGGGCTTTGCGCGGTCACAACGTTAGACACAGGCAATAGCAAATCCCTATGAGGAAACTGCATATTCGTGATTACGATATTCAGAACACGGTGCTTTGTTCTCCGATTTCATGATGGCTGTTTTTGAAAAGCTTGGACCTGTGGGCCCTACGGTCATTGTCGATCGGTTTTCTGGGAAACCGGCCGTGGCCAATCGATCCCACTACGTGCTAATACAGGTTTTGGAAAACGGTGGACAAAGAGTCTGCGAATCATGGAACAGAAGCCAGCGCTGATAATTTAGCCGGTCCGCCACGCTGCAGGAACCTCGACGTTATTGGGCAGCCCTTTGTTAGAGGTATTATCGGCGCCTCAAGGTGTGCATCACGACACTGGACATCAAGACGTCCGGAAATTCTCAGATGCACAGGAATGCTGAGGCTGTTGTGCGGTGGACATAACGATATGGGATGAGCTTCCGCACGTGTACGGACCTCTGGCATTGCAGAGGTGCTGGATGGGTGGAACCTGGAGATCTAATATTATTGGGCGCCGAACGGTGGGACACCACGGGACGATATAAACGAGTAGCTTGCACTAAGCCATTCACGGCAGCATTATCTTCCTGCCTAGCCTGGCTTAGTCTGTGGAGGTTAAACCCATTAGGCTGCTGCGTGTCTGCGGACGACTTTCCCGCACGGGTGGCGCAGACGCTTCGGCCGATGAGAAACTTTCCATCAACGATTAATGAAGATGGAGGGTTGTAAAGGATCTTAATTCAGGTACCGAGGTAATGGCAAACTCAGTCTGTACTATTGTTCCTTAACGATGGTTCGCTTGCCTAGCAGTTTGTCATGGAACGAACGAGCGGCGCAGACCATCGGGAGATCTTGAGATGGATGGAGCTCGTTAAGCATGCTATTAGGCACCCAACAGTGGGGAAGAACGACACGAGAGACGTCGAACCGGCGCGCGAATGTGGAATCTTACTTCGCCCGGCGCCTGCCGGCTTATCCGGGCTGAGGCTAGTGCCCGTTTGGCGACACCAGCCACTCTGCTGACACACCTCCCGATGGTAAATGAGCACGAGAAAGGCATTGACGTGCAATATTGCGATGATTCAATGTTGAGTAGGCATCAGGATCACATTATGCAGGGGAGCCGGGTGATGATGATATCAGAGTGGGGTCAAGGGGATTGTGACGTGCGCTACGGTTTATTTATGCCATCTATCCCCATGCGTCGCCCCCATTTCTGAGCTTTCCACCATAAAAGTACAAAGGCCTCTTGTTCTTTGGATCAGGGGCGCGTTCCTGAATACAGGCGACGTCCGTAGCACCTCCGCCAACGCCCGTTTCCTGAGCCACCATTAGTTGTGAAAGGTCAAAGCACGAGAAGTTTGCATACGATGCATTGAGGACTTTCGGGCATTTCCAGCGGGGCTGCTGCTATTACCTTCGCAAATGCTAGTGCGAGAATGAGAAGGTTCTTCATGTTGTGCGAGTGAGCTATTGAGATAGTAGAAAAAAGAGTTGACAATAGTGCAGGGTTCCTTGTGTAATTGAGCTAAGCTGATGTAGAAGGGAGGGAATTTAATAATGTATGCATTAACCTGAGGAAAGATGGAAGACTTGTTTAAATATAAAAGGGCAAGCTACCGTCCAACTCATCAGGGTCGCAGACTGTAGTGACCGGAGTTTCGGATTGGATAATGAGACTTGGAGGGACTCAAAAAGGCTAACTGTGGTAAGTAATCTGTTCGTATCGTTGAAAGGAATATTATCAAAAGCAGGCAACTAAAAACGAAAATCGGATTCTGTTCTGATTGGCGTTTGGTAGGGATTCAGCTTTCGCCTGACGTATGAAGGTGCCATCGTGTCGGCTCCCATGGTTTTCGCTGGACCTATCGCTGGAGTGATTGGATTTCCTCTTTACTCGTGTTCATCTAGCTCTTGACGCATGAGGCTGCTAGTTGAAACGATGCGGAACTTAAGAATTTAAGTGACTAACTTGCAAACATGTTGACACGTCCTCGGTAATCATGTGAACTCAAAACGAAGGACGGTCTGGCTGAACCGCGACTTTCAATATCATTCTAGTCTTAGAAATATGGAGGAGTTCAAAGGATGTACAGTATTATACACAGTGAAGCTTTCAATGCTTGTTCCACGTCTAGCCTGATCCGCTGCGAAGATATCGTGGAGAGAATTCAATGTGAGCTTTCCACGTAGCTCCTTTACATGTTTCCCATACCTATCCAGGGCGTAGTATTTCGCCTTCAAGATATCGCAATTTGAAAGAAGTTCAAAGTCGTTTTGGCATCCAAACACCTGTCTCATAAGGAAGCGATCCATGTGCAGGACTCGGGCATTAGTGTCAGGCATTGTTGAAATATATGCCCACACGTTTACATGTTCCTGAGAGTTGAACACCGGGACCCACCCTGGGATAGCTTTTGGAAGACTACCTGCCAGATATGGAGCGCAGAGAATCCACTTCGAGAGTGTACTGATATTGGTCGCAGTTGTAGGGGAGAAATTTTGAGAAAGTTCGTTAACGCTCATGTCTTCAGGCGCGGTTCGTAGTTCCGGTGTTAGACGAAAGTCGCGTACCATTGTTGAGATTTGCTCTGTATCATTAGAAATGGTGTCTGTTACTAGGACAAAGACGTGGAGGGGATGTGTTTCGCCATATTCTTGGAGATATGGCCGTGGATTTTTTAGTCTCGACTCAAGTATCCCCAAGTCCGCACCAAAGATCCGGACAGTCATGCCCAGATTTCTGATCAATGATATTTCTTTGGAGTCATGGAAGATATCGTCGAGCAAGTCCATGTGATTGTTCCTTTCCCAGGTTCCCAAGCTGCATCCCAAAGCCTCCAGCAGTTTTGCGATATCGAATGGACGGAGGTATTGAAGAAGCGTACGTTTGAATGGCTCGACGTGTATGAAAGCGTAAAAAATCATCATTAGTAGAGAGAACGACAAACATAAGTCTAGCAGGTCGTCCGTACCTGTCTTTGTGTCACTCAGATACTACAGCAATTTCAAGCCTGGGGGAAAAGAAAAATGGAATATGGGTTTTGTATCCCCTTAGCGGCATTCGCTACCTTCGCTACACTTAGCAGCAGACCATCGGCATGTACCATCTTGGCGAAGCTGCTACAAAATGGTGTACATGAGTACACGAGAAGTAATGTCGCAAAATGCCAAAGCCTAACAAATCCCAACATTCCATTTCAACAGCGCAGGGGAGTCTTTCGGGCAACAGAGCCTGTTACTGGGACTTCAAAAGCACGAAGAGTTATTATCAGAAGCGCATGCCCTATCGCCACGAGACTGCTGTGGCGTCCGACATCACTATGGCAATACACCACACGCAGTACCGTCACTTAAAAGAACTCGAGGGCACATACAAGGCAGCATTTTTCAGGAAGGAAGGAAAACTGTGGGTCACTTTTACATCAATGGAGGTGAAGGAGAAGCAGGAGAAGCACGACTTTGAAGGAGGATCCCCAATGGACTGGACTTTTACGCATACTTGAGAATCGATGTGTCCTAGTTGTCTCCCGATGCGCGTCGCATACATAAGATGTTCATTAATTTATTGCCTTAAACTCTTACTGGTTCTCACTGCCCAGTTAACATTGTTCAAAAGTGCTTCCTCTAGTCGAGCAAGAAGATGATGAGACCTTTCACCTCGCTAATACATATATGTCACAATGATAGAGCGTAGATATATAATGACGGAAGTAGAGGACTTTAAGTGATACTCGCCACCACTTAACATCATCCATACGGCGAAGTTGAAGTCTCTTTAAAATCGTATCACTTCAAAACCCCCGATCACCCTCACTGCAAAAAAAGGCCCGGAGCCCTCTTACGGAGCTTGGATGAGCAGGGCTGCGAGAAAACTATTATTTCATTTCTGGCATAAGGCTTAATCAGAATTGATTCTCTGCAACTTTTCGGTAGTCTACCTATGGTAAATGAAGGTACCTATGGTACTCAACGGCCGCTCCACCTACCATTGAAATAGCTCTTCGATTATCCCTCACGACATGCACCAAATTTATCGAAATGTCATTGACATCTTGTCCGATTGAGCTACTACAGGAGATTGCCGACTATCTAGACCCTGGTGACGTCGCAAGATTACATGTCACGTGCCGTGCACACCACACCGCGCTTTCCGGTCATCTCTACCGCCTGGCGCGTACGTTTAAATGCACCAACTCCACTTCGATTACGCAGGGTCTCCGAGATGTGACATTTTATTTCGACAAGGGCGCAGATAGGAGTGTTCTTGAGTGGGCGGCGGTAAATGGTCGTGCCTTCACCTTCGAACGACTCTTGGCTCAACCTGGTGTAGACATCGTTCAACAAGACAGTTATGGTGTGACGCTCCTCCACCGTTTATCTGCACGTGGAATGGTGGAGTTCATGGTGCCTTTGATCATCCAACTGAGAAGTGAGGGAAAGGATCCCTTTGTAGTGGATTTTTGCGCTCTTACACCTCTGCACTTTGCTGCCGGCCGCAACATGTCGGACGCCGTCAAAATTCTGCTGGCTGCTGGTGCTGATCCTTCGGCAAAGGATCATCATGGAAATACACCTCTTCATCTTGCAGCAGTAAGTGGATCTGCTTCCGTTCTTACTGTATTAGTGACGGCTGGGGTGGACGTC